TGTAAAACATTTTTTTTGACCTTGCAATTTTTTCTATAGATAGTCAGGCACTTAGGCCATGCGCAAGAATTTTTTTTAATTTTTTTATTACGTGAATATGTTTCAAAAAATACTCACAGTTCCTACCACTCTCAATCTGACAACTGCCATCCCCGTTTTCAGGGGAGGGCAGGGGAGAAAAAAAGAAAAAGTAGAGAGGGGAGAGAAAGGAACAGTCACGGCCGCGAACGTGGTCGCGGCCGTGCACCACGTTCAAGCAGTATTGGCCTGAATGCAGTCATTCAGGCCAGAGTTGTGAACTAGAGGGTCAGTGAGGGGAACTTGGCTGGAAACAGCCATTTTCCCGCTGAACCTGCACTCAATGGAGGGCTGAGTGCAGGGAAAAGAGAGAAAAAGAGGGGGGCAGTTGAGTACAACTGCCACACTAAGTGTGTGGCTTAGGTGAGACAGCCTCGGTCCGTTGATCTGGCTCAGATCGACGGCCCCAGGCAAGTGACGAATTTTGCCTAGGGGCAGCTCAGGCTGCTGCTGCCCTCCTCAGCCACTACAAAAGAGGCAGCTGTCCCCCAGCTGCCTCACACTTGCCTCCAGCTGCCAGTGTGCGACAGCACACTTGCCTCATTGCTGGAGTGCTGGAGAGGAGGCAGGAGTGCTGTCGGCGAAGCTGGAGGACTGCGGAGGAGCGCGACGAAGGAGGAGACAACCATAGCCTTGGCTGGAGCATTCTGCTCCACCTTGGCAGGCTAGTCTCTAGGGGGACTCTACGGCAGCGTGGTGAGGAGCGGTAGCGGAGCATGATGAGGAGCGGCAGCGGAGCGTGGTGAGGAGCGGCAGCGGAGCATGATGAGGAGCGTCGGGGAGCACGACAAGTGGTGGGGTTATGCTGCCGAAATACCTCGGCGTCAGTGCGACACATTTATTTTGAGGGGTGACGCTGCCGTTTTCACGGCACGTCGGCGACACTTTGTTTCGAAGAGTGACGCTGCCGTTTTCACGACAGGGTAATACATCGCGGCGAAGCGTTGCCATTTTTTTTACGGTGGTACGGCACAGCACGCCGCCGTATTTTTTGCAGTGGTATGACACGGCGAAGCGCTAGCGTTTTTTTTGTTTATGGTGGTACGGCACTGCGAAGCGCCGCCGTCTTTTTGCGGTGGTATGGCACGATAGAGCGCCGCCGTCTTTTTGCGGTGGTATGGCACGATAGAGCGCCGCCGTCTTTTTGCGGTCAACCGGCACGGCGAAGCGCTGCCGTTTTTTTTTACAGTGGTACGGCGCAGCGAAGTGCTGCCGTTTTTTTATGATGGTATGGCACGGCGAAGCGCTGCCATTTTTTTTATGGTGATACGGCACGGCGCGACGACGTGCTACCATTTTTTGACGAGAGTTCGACATGACAGTGGAGTTGGGGCACGACGGTGGGACGTGAGGAGCGACAGTGTAGGTTTTTTTTACATCGCTGAAAGGTTTTTTGTTGTCGTGCAGCGTCTGCTTTTCTTGGTGAAGGTCTGCTACCATTGGTGTGTACAGCAGCAGCAGCGTGACATGGTGGCGGTTGACGGCATGCGACGGTATGAAATCTGAGCGCGACTGGTGGGTTTTATTTTTTTATTTTTTTATGCGGCACATGAGATGAATGTTTTGTAGTTGGGACTACCCAACACTTGCGGCAGTGGGACTGGACTACTTGGGACTGGCTGGGTTTAGTTGGGACTGACGTGGGACGCGGACGACCTTTTGCGGCAATCTCGACGCATGCGGTTTTGAGATTTGGCACCGGTTTTTTTTTTTTTAGAAGTATGGCGGAAGCGATTTTCGACTCAGTAGTCATTCGACGAAGTCTTTGACAGCATGGGATCACCTAGAACCGCGTGGGATCATCTGGGACCGCTTAGGACCAGTAAGGACTGACGTGGTACTTGATTGAGTGTTTTTTCTAGGACGCGTGCGGCTCGCCGTTTCATGCTTGGGTTATCACGGATGAGGCGTGCGAGTGAGAGGTGGTTTGATCCGGATTTTCCTCGATACTACAACTTTTGGCGGCACACACGGCGTGTTGGTTGAGTTTCTTGAGTGAGCCAGGACGCTTCTTCGACACCACTTCACTCAAGGTCAGTGGACGACTCAGACTTCCTTCTCACTCGTATGCACCCACACATTGCTTGACCCTTTTGCTTTGAATGTTCAGGAGAAAAGGTTGAGTTGGGTTGTGGGCGTCATGCATGAGTGAAAAGGTGGGCCTGACATGAGTAGTGGGACTTTGCTTGTCTTCTTTTGATTGTGTTGTCTGCATGGTGTGCAGGTGAGTAAAAAGACTATGTATAAAAGTGGGACAAAATGCCATTTCATAAAATGGCGGATAATTTTCGCCTCCTTACCATTTTTCTTTTATCAGTGAGTTAGGTAAACTTGCTTGCTATTTTTGAAGGATAATTGATGGGTGCCGAGAGAAAAGGAATTTTGAAAACAGAAAAAGAATCAAAGTATAATGAATTTAACTTTTCTCAAGGATTGACCGTCTCTATTCCGAATAACTTTATCTGCATATACCTGTCCAAATGATCCTCATTCGTTATCCCTTTTGATTTCTCTTTGTTCAAGTTACCCTGAACTTATGAGAAATGAGAACAATTGAAAGTTACTTGTAGTGGACACATGTTCTCTCTCTATGAAGTATCTGGGGTGGGGTTCGTTGCTTCAGGAACCGACCCTGTTATCGACCCAGAGTGGACCGTTCTACGGGGGGGTACTTTGCTGATTAGGTGGAGACGGCCCGACTTCTGAGATCCGAGTTTTGTGCTCGGGCGAGGAGGAGTACCCCATAACACTTCCTGAAGGGAGAGACATGCATCACTTCAAGCAATACACCTGATCAGAATTAACCGCAAAGCAACCTGTCATCCAAGAAGATGAAAATGGGTATGTGAGTCTAGTCTTAAGTCGGCGGTGGGTTAAAATAACTTTGGCAGCGTGTCTCATCAAGTCAAAACTAAGGTTGTCGATTACCTTGTCAGCTGCATCAATGTTATTATCGATAGCCAACTCCTTATTGGCGGTTGCATGAGTGTTTTGTGGAGTTCGACCCGGGGTGGTCGTTTTTTTTTTTTATATTGTACTATTGGATGTATTGCGTGATGATTCAAACTATTTTGTTAGTTACTTCAGATTGAACGTACTTTTTTATCGACTGCGGTCGATTCCTTATTATCTTAATATATGTGGGTGTTATAAATTTCTTTTGAGTTGTATGTAAAAGGGTCTAGGATACTGTGGGTTTCACGCTTGGTTGAGACCATCCTAGTCGACCGGCGTACGCTTCGTTCTTAGGAGATCAGCACCCTAATAGACGGATGACGCCCGGGTCTACTAGATGTTAACCAAACGTATCTATACTACAGTGAATAAGCAAACGCCCTCGGCCGACCCACCTCTGCAACTGCATGTAAAAACTTTCGCACGTGAGTCGGTAGCTTGGTAGGGATACACCCCTAAGGGTGGTGACAGCCCCTTAGGAAAGGCAAGCTTATACCCCACGGAAACCTATCCTGTCGTAGGGGACCGCGGGATGTACAACTGGCGCACCCGGCTAGAGCGGCGAAGGGACGACGCGACCACGCACCCGTCTCGGCGGCTCGCGGGATTATTTTGCGTCGTTCATAAGTTGTCTCCTTGTTTTCTTTTCCGTGTTTCTCCTGCGTGACGCGGCCGGGAGGGCCCTCGCTGATGCGGGGGCCGATGCGCTCGACAGGTGGCGCCGTTGCTGGGGATAACAGCAAACTATCGTTGTCCCTAGCGGAACGACACCCGGGTATTGTATTGATTTTAAACTAATATCTTTTAGAAATAGACGTGATTGAGTTTGATAGATCTTACGAGTTATTTCGGCTTCTTACCTTTATGCCTTATCGCTTGCAGGTTAATCTTCTCATAACGAGATGGCGGAGGGTAGCAGGCTGAATAACGATCCTTGGGATAAAATTGAGAAGTTGATTGAAATGCTCGGGAAGATCGAAAGAGCGGCAACTGCTCCAAAAATCGATGTCCCGATCTTTAATGGCAATAATGTTGTGAAATTTCTTTCAACATTTGAGCAATTGGCTGCTGCTCACGAGTGGGATGAGCAGACAATGTTAAAAAGGGTGATGTCATGGGTACATATAGATGTTCGTCGTGACGTAGCAAGGTTAGTTTCAGAAACCAGAAGTTGGAATGATTTTGATCAAACGATGTTTGATATGTTCCAGCTTGGGAATGAAACTTTGACTCGTGATGAGCTCAAGAATATTTATCGTGACAAATATCCTACTTTCGGAAAGTTTCTTTCGGTGTTTGAGCGAGTGACTCGTCTTGTTCTGGACCTGTCGAAAATTCATAAGAGTCGGATGTTTCTTGCGAACTTTTAAGAGGTAGAAATAAAAGTTTTATTGAAAGGTGTCAGGTCTTCATTTGTTTGGCAGAAGATCCGCGAGAATGCCTTGAACGATGGTTTTGATCAGATTATTCATCTAAATCTGAAAAACATGCGTCGACAATCACATAACATTTCAGACCAGCGTGATGAACGTATTTTGAAAGAACTTTCTGAGGTTGAAGAGTCTTTGAAATCCATGTCGTAGGGGACCGGGGGATGTACAGCTGGCGCACCCGGCTAGAGCGGCGAAGGGACAACACGGCCGCGCACCCGTCTCATCGGCTCGCGGGATTATTTTCCGTCGTTCATAAGTTGTCTCCTTGTTTTCTTTTTCGTGTTTCTCCTGCGTGACGCGGCCGGGAGGGCCCTCGCTGATGCGTGGGCCGATGCGCTCGACAACGGTAACCGTTTGTGGGTCGGTACCATCCCCAAGGTGCACACCGCAGTGCACCTTGGGGTTGGGCTTCAGCCGAAGCGGGAAACCGCCCAATGGTCGGCAAATGCAAATATTTGAGGCGACACAGCGCGTCCACAACACGACGGCTTCCGTTTGTCGCCAAGCATATATAGTCGTCTGCAGGACGTCGCAGTTATGTTGTCGCCCGTGTTCTCTTCCGTCTAGTGCCGTTGTCGTCGTCCGCCTCATGGCTGACGTCTTTCGCAAGCTGCTGCTGCTTGTCGTCGTCTTTTTGCTGGTCGTCGTCGTAGTGTTTCACGTGTGTTTCCTCGGGAACGCGCCGCGGCGTCGACGTAGACGAACTTTGCCGATGAAGCTCGTCAGGACGGATACACGAGAGGGATCCCCCAGGGGAGAAGGGGAGCAGGTAGTGAGTAGGCGTGCCGTTGAAAGTTCTTCTTCGGTTTGTAGGTTGTCGCTGGGGGTCGGCAATTCTGCATTGTCGCCGCACTTGCAACCCCTCCCAGACTCATCTGATGAGGAGGAGAGGGAGGGACGGGCACGCACTGTTCCGTTGGGTAGTGGATCTACGCAAGAATGGGTCTGGACGGAGTTGTGCGGTGGCAGTGCCGGCGTGTGCGAGCAGTTCTTCATTGAACTGCTGCGGCCGGGTCTCGACGGGGAAGAAGGACACGGTGGAGTGAACCTCTCTTCCGGTCTCTCTACAGGGAGGTGTGGAAGCCAGACGTGCACAGTGATCGTCAATCCCCATCCCGACGACGACGGTGGGCAGTTAACCGCTGTGGACCGATCATCGAAATCCACCGGTGCGCAGCAGTGGCAGGGACGATCGACTTCCATCTCCAGGAGCGCGCAGGGTCGCCCACAGTTTATGCAGTCACCGTCTCCAGTGTCTGCTGCGTCCAACATGGGATGTCGAAGTGCCATTGTCACGGAGGGGGGGGGCAACTTGGACGACGTCGGTGACGACCGCGATGGGAGGTTAGTGTGGGCGGAGCAACGACGGGAGCTGAGGGAGGGTCGAGAGAAAGCAATCAGGCGGGGGGTGGAGCGTCTGAGGATGGACAGGCAGGCGGAAGAAGTTGAGGAGCCACATGCGGGGCTTCCGTTCGAAGAGGACGACGACGACAATGAAGGAGAGGCAGGGGACGGGAACGGTGGTTACGCCTCGCCATCGGAGAACAGCGACATGGGTGGGAAGGGCGGCAAGACGAAGGCGAAGGGCGGGAATGGTCGTGGGCGGCCGAAAAAAGCACAAGCAAAGGCGAACGACGGAGACGACGACGGCGAGGCAGAGGAGAAGCAAAACTTTTGGAGTGTCGAACATATCATCGCCCTCATACGGGCGAAACGCGATCAGGATGCGCACTTGCAGGGGATGGACCACCCGTACGGCCGGATGAAGCCGAGGGAGTGGAAATGGAATGACGTCGCCAGAAGATTGAAGAATGTCGGTGTGGAGAGGAAGGCGGAGAAATGCGGGAAGAAGTGGGGCTACCTCATGCAGCAATTCAAGAAAGTTGAGCGCGAAGGAGAGGGCGACTTCTTCAAGTTGAGCGCGAAGGAGAGGGCGAGCAAGGGTTTCAATTTCAACATAGATCGCGCCGTTTACGAGGAGATTGAAGGGTCGACCGGTTTCAACGAAACCATCAACCCGAAAAACGTTGCAGACACTGGTGCCTCTCACGGTGTGGGTTCGCCGTCGACGTCGAATGGTGATCCTGAAGCAGTTGGTGATGACGACGCCGGTGCGGGGGGAGACGATGAGGAGGAGGGATCGACTCATGGTTCTTCCCAGACGACGGGCAGCCCTGGTGGGTTTGAAAAGAGGAAGAGCACGCGCCAGAAGACGTTCGAGGCAATGATCGATTGCATGGAGAAGCACGGTGCGTTGATGGCAGCCACGATGGAGAGTGCCAGCAAGCGGCAATGCAGCATTCAACTACGACAATGTGAGGCATTAGAAGCTGAAGTGCAGGTGCAGAAGACGCACTACGCCGCGT